AGTGTCCTGGAGTGGAAGCAGCAGGAAGGCCACAGAGATGATGCCAGTCAGCAAGAAGAGGACGAAGGAGCTGGTGGCCAGCTGTTGACGAGGATCTGGAAATAAGGCTCCTTAGCAGTGGCTTTCCCTCCTGTCCGACCAGGAAGCGGACATGGATGATGTCTCTGTATTTTATCACCCGCCAGGGGCCACACTGTGAGTGTCCTCTCCTCCCTGGAGCCTCTGCCCTTCTGCAGTCATTACTATCTTTTGTGTACTCATGCGGCACGTAGGGACCTCTCTCTCTCCCACCCACAACTCAGTATTTCATAGATACTCAGTATAGGTCTGTCTGTGTCTGTTTCTCTTCTCTCTCCTCTTCCTCTCCCTCTGTCTCTCCTGGGTAAGGGGTGGGCACAGGATTGAAAGTAGCACATTCCCATTGAGCTACATCCCTGGATCTTTTTTATTTGACAAAGGGTCTAAGTTCCCCAGGCTCAACTCAAAGTAGCGGTTTTCCTGCCTCAGCCTGCCAGGGTGCAGGTGTGCACCACTACACCCAGCTGTCAGCATAGGTTTCTTATGGAACTGCACTGAGCTAACACCTGATAGAAGTACTTCAGTTAGAGCTAAGTGAGTATAAGTCAGTAACCAGGGAAATGATAGGCTTCTTTCTTTACCTGATATAAATTTTAATTAGGAATGTTTCCACCAACAGGCAAAAAGGTAAACCAGAAGACTTTTTCAAACCCACTTTAGCTCATCTCCAGGTTAAGGCTGTTTACTCTCTCCATACAGAACTCCAGAATCCACACTGCCCAACTTACTCTCCTGGAAGTGTCTGGCCATAGGTGGTGTTGTCCAGGCAGGAGGTCCTGGCTGGGGTGTTGGCTCAGGGTGTCCCTGAAGCTCAAGGGGGTATGCTGGAGCCCGCAGAACTGATGTGATGTCCTTGCGTCCCACCACTCGGCCCTCAGCGCCCTCCTCAGACAGCTCAATGCGGAAGCGATCCTGGACATCATAATGACTGGGAATGGGGGCCACGTGGCGAATCACAATGTATGCAAAATAAAGACAGGATTGCTGGGAGTTAAGTCACACCCCCAGAAGGTCCTCCTCTAAGGGTTCCCTAAGGGATGCTGACAGGGTGAGGAAAGCATCTTAAAGAGGATAAGGTCTCAGGCCTAATATAACTGGTGCTATCGACCCTCGACTTCCTTCAGCTTCCCCACCTTCCAACTCACATGTCAATGCAGGACTGAGGTCTTACATATCCTTCTGCGTCAAACACCGTGTATTTGGCAGGTGCTGTGCACAGAACTGTGGAGAAAAAGAACCACAGAAGAGCTTCTAGGCAAGTCTTCCCCATGGTGGGACACTAGAGTTCCCTATTCCCAATCTCCAACCCCAAGGCTGGACATGATTTATTTTTTATTTATTCTATTTTATTTTATTTTGCGGTACCAGGGTTTGAAGTCGGGACCCTGCGTTTGCTAGGCAAGCGCTTATTCTACTGAGCTATCTCCCTGGCCCAGGACACAATTCTTTTGGTGGCCAAGATTTTGCATCTGGTCCTACTCAACTGTACCTCTAGAGTTCAATCCCCGGGCCTAAATTCAATCCCCGGTTCCACCAAAAACCAAAAACCGTGTCTCTAGCCCACACAGCCCCCCAAAAGGTTCTGCAACCAGCCCCCAGATCCCCAGCAGGCACCCATCCCTTCACCTCGGAAGCGAAGCGCAGTTCCTGTGGGGTTATAGAGTGTCAGCAGCTGCCGGGGTCCGCTCCTTTGGTCCGCCCTGAATACTAGATCCGGGGGAAAGACGAGGACCGGGACGACGGGTCCCGAAGGAGGAGGGGCGCCCCGGGACCCCCGCCCAGAGGACCCCGGACCCACCAGCTCCAGGTCCTGGGGCGCCCCACGGCGCATGCAGGCTCTGGGCTGTCGGACATCCGAGGGAAGAACTCAGGGGACAAGGCTTGGAGTCTAGAGCTGGGGGCGTAGGGGCAAAAGCGGACAAGATGTAGGGCTCGGACTGGTGCCGCCGAGGCCTCGAAACCCCTCTAGAAACTGTTTACTTATACCCAGGACCCAAAACCCTCCGGATTTGCAACTCGGCCCAGAGCCCACAGACCCAGCCCCCAAGCTTCACCTCCTCAGCCACGCCCATCTCGTTAAACTCTGCCCCTCGTGGCTCCCAATCCGGGGTTTCTCAACCCTGGGCGGTGATCTCCATAAGCGCCTCCCCCCTCAAGGTCCCGCCTTTCAGGAAATGCCGGTGTCTCCTCCTCCCCATCTTTCCGGCCAGAGTCCTCCCTGCAGCGGCCTCCTCTGGAGCAACCCTTCGTGTTTCCTGTGCCCTATCCCTCCAGGACCTCGGCCGGTACCTTGTCGGGCTCGGGCCGCTCGTCCTATGATGACCACCTTGTGGTCAAAGTACCTGCCAGTCAACCTGTAGCCAGACTGGTGCCATCTTCCCGAGAGTCTCTTTTTCACTTCCGCCGTACGAACTTTCTCATTGGCCAGAACGCTCCCGTTCCCGCCTAAGCGTACTCTGATTGGTCTCTGAAAGACCAAACCGAAGTCTCTCTCTCTCTCCTAGCACCGATGATTGGCTTGGTCTTAGCGATGTAAGAAGTTTAGAGGTGTCTCAGGCTCAAATTCAAGCCGCGAAGTAACTGGGACAGATGGGGCAGGGATGAGATATGGGCTTTGTTACTTCCTCCCTATTGTCAGACCGCCCATATCGCTGGATTCCAATTCTGGGCTCAGATCCTATTTCTCCCCTTCCTGGACCCGCCTGGGAAATCATTCACAAACCCATGGGAATTTAAGACT